TTCAATTTGCACATAATATACCTGTACATACAACTGTCTATTGTTCTATACCTGTACATACAATTGTCGGTTTGTATATTTTTTATTCCTTATTTTACTTGTTCTATTTTGTTTTATTTTTTTATTTTTATTTTTTATTATCTGTGTTTTTTGTTCTGTCACTGTCATTCTGTTGCACTGTGGAAGCTTCTGTCACGAAAACAAATTCCTCGTATGTGTAAACATACCTGGCAATAAAGCTCATTCTGATTCTGATTCTGATTCAGTATCGTCAACTCACTCGTCAGAATCTTCGGTAATCCTCGGCAAACTTCGCCACGGCTCATTCGGTTCTTGTTGAGTCCTCGGTAATCCTCGGCAAACTTCGACAGTTGGTTGAAGCGGCTCATTCGGTTCTTTTTGAGTTGGACGTGATACTTCGGCTGTGCGTCCCGCGTCATCAACCCGGAACTAAAGTTCGATTCAGTCCGATTTGTGAACCGGTTCAACCGGTTACTTCCTGAGAACCGGCTCAAAAGAACGATTCGTTCAAGAACCGAACATCACTAGTAGGCAATAATGATGGGCGCTTTTTTTTGGTTTGCCATTGGGGGCGATCTCTCTAAACCCGTGAATCATGGGAGTTCATTGAGATCGCCCCCCAGCAGCGAACCATTAAACCAGCGTCTATGGTTTTTACCTAATCTCGGATCAGTTTCATCAATTTGTAGACAAATTTACGAGACATTTGTGTAATTAAAAGGATGAGTAGTAGTTAATAGTGTCTTACTGGCCTCTGTTTACAAGCTCTCCATAAAACAAACAAAACAAGCCCTGCAAATTAATATAAAATATTTTAAAAACCACATATTATACAGACACTTCATATTTAATGGTATTTTATTATTTTTATAGCATTTAATGTGTTATACTTTTAATAAAGCATTTGCAGTGGGTTTTTAAAAGTTTTAGTCTGAGTTTTTGTTGCATTTACACAATTTTGACAGTAGCATTTGATGTTAAGAGTGCTTCGAAACAGTGCATTATTTTGCGAAGCAATTGGTTCAGTTGATTTGAAGCTTTAAGAAGGTTTGTTCTCCCAATCACTAGTAGGCAAAGTGATATTTATAAAAAGCGTCATTATATATGTCTCCTTGCAGATGGAGTGAAGCGTAAGCAGAAGAAGAGCAGCTCTCGTAAGTCTGCGCTGATGGAGTAGATCAGCAGCGAGAAAAAGAGCGTTCAGAGGCGGATCCGGCAGCTGCACAGACACGGTCAAACACAAATACATCCGGTCTGCTCTGGGTGAGTCTGACCTCCTCAAACTTCCTCTAACATCCTCAAAACTCCTCAGACCTGCTGAGACAACGTCAAACATATTTAAAACCTGCCTAAACACCAGCAAACCTGCTCAGAACCCCTCAAATCAGCTCAGACAATCTCAAACCTACTTAAAACCTGCTTAAACACCATAAAACCTTATAAAAAACCCTCAAACTTACTCAGACAATCTCAAACCAGCTCAGACAATCTCAAACCTACTTAAAACCTGCTTAAACACCATCAAACCTGCTCAAAACTCTTCGAACCTACTTAAAACATGCTTAAACACCAGCAAACCTGCTCAAAACGCCTCAAACCAGCTCAGACAATCTCAATCCTACTTAAAACCTGCTCAAAATCCCTCAAACCAGCTCAGACAATGTCAAACCTACTTAATGCCTGCCCAAAGACCCCTAAATCCAATCAAACCTCTGTAAACCTGCTCAAAACCCGTGGGGGACTAAAAAGCGATCATGCATTCAAAAGCATTTTCAATGCCAGGCATAATAGCGGCTCCCTGATGCCCGCAATTTATATACAGTATAATTACCCAATGATAAAACTGCGAGAGAAAGTATTGAAATACATATTTTCCTCCCATTTCGTATTTCCGAACATGGTATTGGGACATTGCGGATTGCGGGGGAGGGGGGGGAATCACGATGCCGGCTCAAAATCGTGATATCAATCAGCCATCGGCGATGGACGATGGCATCGTCTATCGGCCCAACCCTAGCTCACACAATCTCAAACCAGCTCAGATTATCTCAAACCTACTTAAAACCTGCTTAAACACCAGCAAACCTGCTCAAATCCCCTCAAACCAGCTCAGACAATCTCAAACCTACTTAAAACCTGTTCAAAACCCCTCAAACCAGCTCAAATTATCTCAAACCTACTTAAAACCTGCTTAAACACCAGCAAACCTGCTCAAATCCCCTCAAACCAGCTCAGACAATCTCAAACCTACTTAAAACCTGTTCAAAACCCCTCAAACCAGCTCAAATTATCTCAAACCTACTTAAAACCTGCTCAAAACCCCTCAAAGCAGCTCAGACAATCACAAACCTACTTAAAACCTGCTCAAAACCCCTCAAAGCAGCTCAGACAATCACAAACCTACTTAAAACCTGCTCAAAACCCCTCAAAGCAGCTCAGACAATCACAAACCTACTTAAAACCTGCTCAAAACCCCTCAAAGCAGCTCAGACAATCACAAACCTACTTAAAACCTGCTCAAAACCCCTCAAAGCAGCTCAGACAATCACAAACCTACTTAAAACCTGCTCAAAACCCCTCAAAGCAGCTCAGACAATCACAAACCTACTTAAAACCTGCTCAAAACCCCTCAAAGCAGCTCAGACAATCACAAACCTACTTAAAACCTGCTCAAAACCCCTCAAAGCAGCTCAGACAATCACAAACCTACTTAAAACCTGCTCAAAACCCCTCAAAGCAGCTCAGACAATCACAAACCTACTTAAAACCTGCTCAAAACCCCTCAAAGCAGCTCAGACAATCACAAACCTACTTAAAACCTGCTCAAAACCCCTCAAAGCAGCTCAGACAATCACAAACCTACTTAAAACCTGCTCAAAACCCCTCAAAGCAGCTCAGACAATCACAAACCTACTTAAAACCTGCTCAAAACCCCTCAAAGCAGCTCAGACAATCACAAACCTACTTAAAACCTGCTCAAAACCCCTCAAAGCAGCTCAGACAATCACAAACCTACTTAAAACCTGCTCAAAACCCCTCAAAGCAGCTCAGACAATCACAAACCTACTTAAAACCTGCTCAAA